CAACGGATGGCCTTTTCCACAGTGAAGAACAAAAAGTTGCCGATATTAAAAAGATTAAAAGCATTCATTTCTTCCATTCGTTCATTCCTTTTCGTTCATCACTTTTTTTGGGCGTGGTAGTCCTGTCCGTAAGCATGGAGGACGTGCTACATTCGCAGCTAAAAAATACATCAGGAAAGTACTACCTGCTCGCGGCTAGATCATGGCCCCGCCCACCGGCCACGGTAACGCCCAACTTTCATTTTTATCTGCAGTGGTGGTAGGGTTGTTCCACTGCTAGCTCTTTCTATTTTAAAGGATGAGAGTGAGGTGATACGGAGAAGAGTTGGCGCCAACAAGTGACAACTCATGTGACCACTCCCTTTCTTTGTTTTATGCACGTACGAATGCGGTTCAGCATGGGGCTCTTTATGAAGCATTTCGAACGGGTCTTCACGCCTTTTTTTTCTTCGCTTATGTGTTTCTTGCCATCTTGTAGTCAATTTTCGAGCCGCGCAATGCATCATTTTTGCAACGGGCGTGCCTTTAAGTTCAAGTTGGGTCGGAGGTGGTGCAGCAGCAGTTGGCTTCCCACTTTCACTTTCGGTTCGTCAAACCCCAGATCAGCTCCCACTGAGGCCAAAGGAAGCTTCTACCTTTCGGGAACGATAAATTGGTACCAGATCCGTCTTGAAAGAAATAACACACTGACTTGTACATCGGCTGACTCCGCAGGTCCCTTCATAGGCCATATCTCGTGCTTGAAGGCAGTTGGCACGATGGTTTCCTACTTAGCCTAAAATGCTAGTAGGGCGCTGTATAGTGGGGAAATGGCGAAAGAACGGAGTGAAACGGTCAAAATCCTGCGAAGAAAAAGCCTCCGTTCTCAGTGACTTGTAAATCGATTTCGGACGAGTTTCCCGTAGGCATCTTACCAATCACCGCTACCGAAGATACGGCTGCATATGTGTACCCATGTATGCATGCAGCATCACGGCCGCTTCATACCAATCCCTTCGCTTCATAATTTGCTTAGCAAATGAATGAATACGAGCGTCAGGAACGGTCGTCCATTTGTGGGCGGGCGGGCGTGGCGTTTGGGACGTAAAGTTGTGGCTTGATAGGGCCCTTATAAGGGCACCTTCCTCGGGGAAACCGCTATGCAGCGCCTGCCCAGGGTCGCGGAATTCTATCCTGCCAGGAGTATTGATCCTAGTCGTCTTGGGGCAGTGCCTTTAAGCCACTGCGATTATGGATGGAAGTAGAATGCGTGCCGCATCCTTAAAACGATTTTCCAACGCTGAAGACTTTATCCTTTATTTATGATATTTTTGCAATATTGATATGATCTCCCTTCGGGAATTTGTTTTCCCTCAGCTAGGTTTGGGAACGAACAGGAACATGCATGAGTAATCTAGTCTTAGACTTTGCACGCCATCATTTTGTCGTGATCAACACATGCATTGGCATAGCTAATTAATTGTTGGAATGACGGGAAATGAGCAGACGTCCCAAATACTTCTGTTTGGGGATAGGAATCAAGGGCTATGTGACAAGACAATCGTAATCCTTCGCGCTAGTGGGTGTCGCGTGCGACGTTGCTAGCGTAAGTGACGATGTTTCTAGCGAGTAGATGGCGACAATTGACATTGTATGGTTGAAATAGCCATACATTTCTACAGTGTCGTAATCTACACGAAATTTCCCGCTTTATCGACAAGCCAACGCAGATCAAGAAAACGGCGCGCCGATTGCCGCGCGCTGCGGAGCGACAAATTATGATTGTCTTGACCGTCTCCCGGGATCAGATGGTCTCTGCATTGCCTCTATGTGCGTTGTTCATAGAAACATTGCCGGATTATTCTTTCTGCTCTATGTCTCTGTCCTTGTAACATAAACCGTGCGACTATTTCATGACAATTTTTGAAGCTTACTTACCAATTTTATTTAGTTTCAGGACAAGAAGCAGTTTTATAGTCGTTCAGGTGTTGTGACCTGGGTTATGTGAAGAAAAAGTTGACAACAAAGCTACGTGAGTTTTTCCCAAATTCGATGACATATTCCGGACCGCATGACAGGCACAGTTAGGCAGCGTTCAGACTTTGCGGCAGCGTTTCGATTGCGCTCGACGCGATCGATGAGCATACTTTCGACTGCATCGATCGCGTCAAACGCGCGACCGAAGCTCTGCCGTCGCGAAGTCTGAACGCTGCCTTATTTTTTCTCGTTCTGTGGCATATTATATGATTTATTTTGCATTTCTCTTGTTTTCTGAAGCTGTCAAGACACATTCTCGGCCCGTAAGACCCACATTATCAAATCTAAAAAGCATTCTGATTGTCGTAATGAAAAATGATAAAAGAGGCGGTGATACACGGAAGAACAAGACAACCGTGACTTGTCGCGTCGTCGCGTGCGCCATGCACGGCAAGTTCTCGATGAGCATCGGTCTATCGGCTGGATCAGCGGATCTTATACGAATTCAAGCGGAGTCAAGACTCCATGACTAGCGACTTAGCGACATCCAATTTCCCCCGTCACATTTGCTCTTAAAATCGGCTGTATATCATCTGGCGCAATTCACTAGGGTCAACTCGTCCAAAATTGCATTTCCTTATTCATAAGTGTCATTATGAGCCTGGGTGAGAACCATGAGTACCGAAGTAAATACTAATTGCCTTATGTAGGTTATGGATTGAGAAAACCTCATAGTTGGATGATTCGGACGAGTTATCCAGTTTGATAGACACGTCTCTGTCAGTACACGTAAACGGCAATGTGATCGCACTAAGCGACCGCCTTCCCTCAAATTCAATCGGCAAGGCAGGATAACTCGTCCTTCGGGCATGGCCACACCCATCGGCCCGGCTTGTTACGATTGTCTTGTCACATACCCCAGTACGACGGTCCGCAGTGTGCATTTCTTGTGTTGTGTTAGGCAGCTTATTATAGGATTAGCTTCTTAGAAAGTCATTGTTAAACGGTTTCAGATTAGTTTGCTGACAGCCAGTTCAGCGTAGCGATGCAGGAGCTGTCTGCTGCTGAACTTTCTATGCTATGGTTGTTGCGCGATCGTCATACCACTAAACAAGCTGTATGTTTTTGAGAAATTCTTTTTTTTCATTATGAAAATGAAATTGAATATTTCCTGTATAGGTGGAGAAAGCTATATTGAATGAGCTACCTCTGTGGCCTGAAGCAGTTCATTTGGCTCGTGCGTATCATAGGTCGAAAAAAGACTTGGCTGGTGGGAAATGTGAGTATTTATTCTTTCTTGGATAAACAATTTGGAGGCTAGGGCCTTACGGCGTCTTTGCTATAAATACATCAACAATTACGGAAATAAAGACGAAAAGGCACCAGTAATCTTAGGGGAAGGGGGGCATAATTATGAGCTTTCTTTAGGGTGTGTTTTTGTCTTTTCATAACCCCATCTCACTCTGCAGGTCCTGTAAGGTCCTTTAAGGAACCAGGAAACTTGTCAAACTTGGTTGGATGTTACTAGCATCACTGGAAGGCCATTTCTCCACTTTTATTTCCCATGTTGGCTTGTCACTTTGACAAGTTTGACAGGAGTTTACAGGATGCTTAACAGGTGATAACAAGGTTCACAGGGTGTTGACAAGGTTGTCCGACACTCACATGTTTACATTCTGCAGGATTTGATATGTGACAAAGGCTTACAGGTACCCCCCCCCCAAGGTTATAAGCGCCAATAGAAGGGTTTTCGTACTTAACTCATAGGGTGCTGGGATCAATTCCCACGCCACAGTCGCCGGCGCCAAAGTTCCCCAAGTAGCCTGATTCACTGGAAACTTGTACCCTGGGGATCGACCTCCTGAACACGAATATCAGATCCGCTTGGCCTGAAACCGACTGGGCCTGGTTTCAGGCCAAGCGGATCTGATATTCGTGTTCAGGAGGTCGATCCCCTGGGTGCAGAACAGGCAACGGCATCATATGCCTGTTTCGACCCCGACTCTTGTAGCGCGCTCTTCAGGCGTTTTTGGGCCAAGCGCATGTGATATTCGTGTTGAAGAAGTCAGACTAACCGCGGGCACTAGTTTTCAGACAAATCTGCTTCAGGAGAAAAAGTCGATAATAAAGTGGCCTGTTTTGGGAAGATTGTGGCAGAAAAGGGCAAATATTGTCCGCTGTTTATGTTTACGAACAGCGCGCTCTATGTACGATATTAAGGAAAATGGTTTATTAGTTGACTGAAGTTATAATAATCCCCATTTAGACTATATACTCGGATCAGATTTTGTCGAGAACGAAAGGAATTCTCCATACTCGTATCACGAGCTAGGTAAGATTTGCTCCGCTCGATCTGATTGTGAATGGGTCTTTTTGATCCATTTCATGTTTTTATGGTTTTTTTATGATAGATCACGTTTTAATTTTGGTTACTTTTTTTTGGATTCTTTTTGTTTCAGTTTCAAGTTTTCTGGCAACCCCATTTTTTGGTTGCTCCTTTAGTGGCCACGGATTGTTAGAATAGGCAACTGACTGCACAGTTGGGATGCCTCACCTTGGTTCCCATCTACATAGTCTCAATTTGCGTTCATACTTTGCGTCAGCGCCCACCAGCGTTCCGAGTATGCGCCAGCGACTAGAAAATTTAGATATCGATCTAGCGAACGCCAGCGTCCACCAGCGTATAGCTGCGTCCAAGAGTGGAGAGTATGATAGGAGGGTAGCGAGTGTAGCGACATTTATATTGGATGTCGCGAATTCGCGGTGTACCTCAAGGTTGCATAGCTCTGAGCCTCAGTACGGTGCGGTTGCACATGCTGCAATTTCACGACGTATAACCCAGCTGTTTGCTACCCTCCTACTACGCCATACCCTCTATGTTTTTCAGCGTACAGCAGCGTACTCCTGAATGCTGCTGTACGCTGAAGGACGCTGGTGGTCGCTAGTGGACTCTGACGCAAAGTATGAACGCGGTCTCTGGAAGTTCGGCGCGTATCCAAAGCCCTGATTTCAGGTCGATATCCTATAAACAAGCGAAGAAACGCGTCTGTTCCTAGAAAGTCCTCACCAGAGATATCAGAAAAAGAGTCATTAAGAATAGACGCCCTGGACTACCAAACTCCTTTGACTTCTTCGGTCACCACACAATTTCCACCGATATCGGAATTGCTCAAAGGTTATTTCTAATTTCTTAAAATATTAATTGGTGCAGGTCGGCGACGGAGGTGCACTTTTCTGCTTCCTATCGACGTGTCGACCCATTTGGAGAGACATTTCCTGAGCTTACAAGAGTTGACAGGTTTCACCATGGTGGCTGGACGAACTTGCTCCAGCTGCACGAGAGTGTACAGGTTCCCAGTGTAAGGGTTGTAATTTGGAACTGATGAAACAGCGAAAGTGCAGTGTGCCCTCCCCTCACCGTCGCCGAACTGAACCCTCTCACACTTTTCACAAAACCTTTAGCAAGTTGACTATTGCAGTGAATGACCTCAACATGGCTTTGCACTAGATAGCCCCGTAGTTGAAATCTAAAAGTAATTTTACCCAACCATTTCAGACAGGGAGTCGGCGAGGGATCGTTTTGAGTTGGATAAGAGCAGACACATCCAACTGCTCCATGGCAGCGGTGCACCAACAACATTCGAGAACATCGATAGAAGCGCTCTGGATATCTGCCAGGTCCTTTTCAAATATTTTATGCTTCAATTACCACTACAGACCATAATGTATTGCTTTTTGCAGATTTCTGGAGATGGCGGTTCTGAATGTGAGGCAGGAGGGGATGATGTGGCTCGTCTCGCCTTAGCCCATTCATCTGGTGAGCTGCGAGTGGCTACGGTTTCCGTCGAGGACGAGTCAGCAATGACGACACAGGAAGCTAGCCCAAGCGCTCCTCCTATTCTCGGAGAATTGCTAGAGCAGGGACAGAGCGCTGCCGCTGGATTGCTACCGCTTGAAGACGTTCCGAAGGAATGTGCCCTCCCAAATGAACCTCCTATCTTCGCTGATTCGAACCGTGCGACTCTTCCGGAAAACGAGTCACCTCCAAGCCCAGTGCGGAAGCCTATTTTTGACTTTTCTGAGTTCGAGTCGGAAATAATGCGTCAGTGTGAACGACTCTTTAGACCTCGTTCTCCCGTTAGAAATTTCAGTCGCATGCTCTCCTTGGAGGATTTTCGAGAAATGAGTATGAGGGACGAGAGTTTTATGGCTTTCGCGAAAGAAAGAGGAACATCGACAGGCGGTAACTCTGAAATGGAGGATGTTGAAGCTGCGGTTTTAGCTGAGTTCGACAAAATCGATGAAGAGTTGGAACAAGGTTAGCATGAATCTTGTTTGACAAGGAATAGTGAATGAGTTTATCCGTTTTATTGTTGTTATTTGATTATTTTAGCTATCATGAGTGGAGAAGTTATGGAAGCGGGTGAGGAGATCAACGCCGGTGATTCTTTGCCAAACGAACCTAGTACTTCTGACAAAGAGAAACCTAAGCGATGCTACGTTTATCCATTTGATGGTAAGCATTTAGGAAAACTTTTTTTTGGGGGGGGGGGGTTTCTTACACGGTATCATACACAAAGTTTTCTCGCCCTGCTTCATTCGGAGATTCGGCTATGTTCATAGTTTGCGACAGGAGGTCAGGAAAACTGCAGATTCAACGTTTCAAGAGAATGCGCACTAGAGAAAAGCATAGGTACCGATCTGGGAGAGCGCGTGCCAAAGGAAGGGATAGGTATCGACCTGGCGATTTAGGAGAATAGGGTATTCGACACGATCGAAAGGGATGAATACGCATCTACTTCTACCCATCTATCATCTAATACGCATCATCGACTGAGCTGACAGTTGCAGCGCTCCAAAGATTAGCGGTGGGGCGCGGTCGGTTGCTCGCGCGACAGAGCGGCTCGAATGCGAAGTATGAACAAGGTCTAAGAAGACGTGAAGGGCAGGATAAAATAGTGCTAAAACGACTTTGTTTTCCAAATTATTCTGTTGTGGGCGCAGTTCGGCTTGGCGGGGGCAACGAATGGTGCTCAGCGAAGCCTCTATAGGTCATCTTTTTAAGACCTGTCAAAGCTTGTGAGCAAAGTGACTTGTATCATTCCGCAGCTTCACAGGAGTTTGCAGGTCTCAGCCATGTGATACCTGTTAGTTAACATAAACCAGGAAAAAACTAGCGAGAGTGCGAAATGCCCTCCCAGGCCGATTAGCGCCCTGTAATGTGTTTCCGCGTCAGCATATTTAGTTGTTTTATTCAAGTTAGTTTGATGAGTTCTTTTTTCAGATAGCTCAAGCGTTATCTGTTCGGATTACTCGGATGATGATAACATAGGCACCAATATATTTATGGAAATAAGTGAACATCGTAGAGTGGAAGGAGCGTCAAGTCCAAGCAGTTGTAGCGATGATAGTGAAGTGCGCTTTTGATTAGCTTTGAACTGTTTTTTTTTCACGGTAGATAATGATTTCTTTTATGGTTTTCGATTTCGATTTTTTCAGGCTGCTCCTCATCCCAATGTTTTCGTTTGGTTACCTCAAACATGGACCTATGATATAAATCTAGTTACGAATTTCCGAGCTCCTTCACCAAGTGCCAGATGTGATGTGGTGATAAGTAGGCCAGATACAGAATATGCTGAGTCAACAGTATTAGGTGAGGTGAAATCTGTCATTTGATCAGTTTCTATAGAAGACAAGCCCCGTCGCTCGTTGGGGAATTTACTGGGGTTCGTATTTTGTCGGAGGGGGCGTATCCTAAAGGCACGTCAAGCGTTTAGTTGATATTCAAAGGTTTTCTTGGACAAGGCAGTCCTTCCAGCAGGGGTGGGAGAGGTACTTATTGGCAGCTCGAAATTACGTAAGAAAAGCGCCATCATTTCGTGACGGAACCACGGCTCTTCCCACTGGCCACGTCCACTTTTCATTTTTAACCGCTACGACCGGTTTCACGCTTTTTCTTTACCCCTGAATCATTACCTTGTCATTAGTATGTGAGCCGCACGAATCCCCATTTTCGACTCTCGGGCATGCCACTTGGTGCCACCAAGAACTTTTTTACCTTGCAGCGAGACTAAATTTTCCCATTTGGTTGACTTGTTTGCAGTTTTTCCTGTTTCACATGGTACGATGTCCCCCCTCCCCCCCCCCCCCCTCGCACATCAGCTATTATGTTATATAATTCGATCTGGGGAGAGAATTGGCGGGCTTGCCTTTGCAATTTTCTCAGTGCGACTCCTTGAAAGTGCGCCTGGATGAAAGGGCCCAGTAATGTGTTTGTAAAGGTGAATTCTCCAATATTTAAGTACTGTACTTTCAGAACCGACGCGGGAAAGAGTTTCGAGTTCTTTCACATATTCTAAAAATCCGTCTCATTGCGGTGGATGCATTTGCCTCGTAAGCGTGGCGCCCGACTAGGGTCCTGCAACATCGTTTAGTTGTCAAGGTAAGAGCATTTGTCTTAAGACAAAGAGCACGATTGCTGGAGGCTGGCGCTTATTGCCGGTGCAATTGGTGGGAGGGTTGCGAGAGGGCGTGGACGCGCCCCCATTCAAGCTGCACACCACTGACCGTCTCAGCCGACAATCGCCCTGCTCCCCCAGTGCAATTGTGCTCGTGGCCTTCCAAAGGTGCGCCAGAGTGCGAACCGTTCAGATGAATTTCTGGCTTGCTTTCCAGCTGTCAAAGAGAGGAGCGTCACTTGCTGTGGACTCGCCGACACTCACCAGTCCCGCGCCTCTTGAATGTCGATTCGTGTCAAATTGAACTTGTTGATCGCGTTTCGGAGCAAGCTACCATCAGCTGTGAAGGTCTGTTTTACCTCATTATTTTGTACAGGAAAGCGCGGTTGAGAATGTTTACTAAATACAATCTCCATAGAAAAAGGAGAAGTTGCACATGGATTTTCATTTTGAATTCACGACTTTTCAAATGATTTTAAGACTTGGCTAAACACTAAACACTCTGCTCGCCCCCCCCCCTCCGCCTTCTACGTGTGACGCTATCGCAAAATTTTGGTCCTTATTCGAATCTTCGTTTGGGCTGGCTTACGGTAGCCCGCCGACTGGTGCGGGAGAACTCCAGGAAACTAGTGGAGGCTCTCAAATTGGCAATTAGCTAGCAGTTGTCAGATGTCTCGCTCATCAAAAAGCCAACGCAGGTTGGTTTTGAGTGGCGAGCGAGACATTTGAACTGAGCTAAGCTTCTTGCCAACCTTGAGGGGCGAAAAGGGGCGGGACTTCACACAGTGGACGGGGCTACCTTTAAGCAATCCAAACACCTGCTAATTTCAAAAAAGACCGAATATTTGCAAAAAGTCACGAAGATGGGCAGGGCTAAAGGAGGGCATGTTTAAAGCACGTTCCGCGATAAACTAAGGCTAGGTTCTCATAACCGTGCACGATGGTCAAGCGAGGCTTAGGCTATGCCTCCTTTTTAAGTTGAAAAAAAAGCAAGCAAAACGCAGGGGCGCTCAGCGTTTTAGGCCTATTTGCCGCCCGTTAGGCCCATGCCGGCCTCCAGTGACCGTGTCGTTGTGAGACTGCCATTGCGCTCTCTCGCCCGTCGTTTTCTGGCCTCTCTCGTCTCTTATCAGTGTATCGCCGCCTTTCGCAATTCACAATTGATCTTGACCTCATTACGCTCGTCCAGTGATCATGATCAATTGCAATAAAGAGGGTCTTATTCCGGGCTTTTTCGATGCTTCGCTTCTCTTGAACAACATTCAACAAACACACGGCAATTCTAGTTTTGAACTGTATTACCTATGAACTGTGGTCCCGAGAATTGCCTTTAAGAAAGTCTTGAATTCGATTTGAAAAGTCGTGGCTTTCGCTCGTAAAATCGTGAATTTCGTTCGAAAGTCATGATTTCGAAAGGAGAATGGCTTATAAGTATGCTATAGGGTCAGCTATGTTCTATGAAGTGAAAGTTTTGACGTGCCTTAGGAGGTTGATAGAGGAAACTTTTACGGAATCGGCCCAAGGTTTTGACTGATTAGTGATCTTTGAAGGTCCTGGATCTCATATTTTGGACAAAAATCCGCTATCACCTTTGTGCGTGATAAATGGCGTGTAAAAGTCCTTGTGCGTCGAACGGGATCTGTGCGAAAATGACAAAAAGTGTAGTGGCTATCGCCAAAGCAATGGCGCTTCCGCTCCACATTGTCTTCCACCGTCTGATGTTTGCGGTCGTGTCCTTGAAATCCGATGGTTGAGATCGGCGGCAGTCGTGCGGATTCCATAGCACTGGTCACACCTTTACTTTGTTTGCACAGTGTCCAGTGGTCTTAAGCTGGTTGTAGCTGGTAGACACTGGGGCTTACATGTGGAACCGATGAAGTGTGTACCAAAGGCATCTCTTTGGTGACTGTTCGATTGTTTGCTCCTCGTGAACCTCGTAAACTGTAGGAACAGAGTTTAGTGCCTCGTGTATTTGGACTGACACCAGCTCGTCTTAGAATAACAAATGCCGTCGCTGTTATCTTGGCAGGTGGGAAGGGAGGGGGTATTTTGCTAGTTCGGTGGTTTCTTCAGTTCTGTCATTTTGATGAGACTTGTAAATTCTTGTGATGCGGCGAAAAGGAACAGGTTTTGCCAAGCCACTTTGATGAGACCTGTTAACTTTTGTTAACTGTAAGGACAGCTCGTCCAAAAGCTTAAACTGGTCCTTTCTCCTGAATGCACAACCAGATTATCAAGTGTAGAAGTATGTGCGTAGAAGTGAACACGTCTTCAAGTAGACTATCAGTTACGAAAAATCTACAGTTTAGTGATTTGGACGAGTAGTCTTCCTTACTAGACTCGTTCTATTACCTGTTATGGCGTGTTAGCGACAATTTGATCGTCGAACGACTGTCTCCGCTTCATAGTGTATGGCTATATCAGCTTTACAAGAGTTTACAGGTCTTTACAAGATGCTGAATGCAAGTTTACATGATTTTGAACCTTCACAAGGGTGCGCAGGTCTCCACGTCGATGTGAATTAGCAAAATGTCCCCTCTAAGGCGAAAAAAAAACCGAAATGTGAATACGATGATCTCTGCAGGGAGTGGAAAAGAGGAGCGGTTATGCTGTGAATTGTAGATTAGTTTTTGTATAACTAGGAGGCTTCGTCATCTAAACCTGGACGACGTGTGCTTTAACTTTACTATT